AATAGGAAGGCTCCCCATAATTTATTCATTTCAAGTCTCAATAAAATTTTTATTCAGCTATTTATTCGTTTATTCACATAAAAACGTGACCAGAAGTTCGTGGAAATAATCAAGAAAAGCAAAGAGCTCTCAAGATAAAACTAAGCTGAACGGAAGTAGGGGTTTTTCTATACTTTTTTCTTCACAAGTTTTAGTCAGCTCTCGAATTTGATCACGCAGGCATACATCTGCGTCAACAACAGTTCAACAAGGTCCGTGCTACACAACATGGCTAATTTATGCAAGTGCTAGTACTAAATAAGGGAAATTCCGCTGAATAATTGTTCTAGTCAGCTCTCCAGATTTACTCTTCACCACGTTGAAGAAGTTTTTCTTAACGTGAGTCGCTATCAACTTAATGTGTTTTGGCTTGGATATGGTAGAAGAGGTGTAAAGAGGACCGCCATCATAGAAAAAGTAGAAATGATCACAGCAAACACTGAAATATGGGTCTCTTTTCTTGAGATTGACCTGGTACATCGCGAAATACAGAGGAGACGAAAAAGAAGGAGTACGCCGTACATACTATAGATGGCACGACGCCGACTACGCTGCGATTTAGTGTAAATCGCGGCGCTCGCAGCGGTTGCGGTGAAACTTAGCTCGCACGCTTGCAAGTCTTGACGGTGCCAGTGAGTTCTGGGTTGGGAAGCCTGCCCCTCGCTCACTTAAAATTGCTCTGATAATCAATCGCAGTGTCTGATAGATCAATTGCGCAACCCGAGTTCCTTCAAGATTAGTCGGGGCGCATATTGTGGTTCTTTGTGAGGTTCGTTAAAAATCCAGTCGCATTTGCTTTTGTTCGCTTGCATAACATTTCGTTACTCTTCCATAGTCTGATGCAGAGGGAGCGATTAGGAACTCGCTCGAATAGGGTGTTTCTTCAAGAACATATTTTTAACAGCAAAGTGGACGGGCCGCGGCGGGGGGTGGGGTGGGTGTGGGTTTTACGCTATATAATCCATTCATGGCGTGCCAACGTTACTGTATCAACGTCTTTTTCTCAGCGTCCTTTTGCAGCACGACAATAGTGGTCCGCTTAAAGAGCGCTTGACATAAACTCTCTCAGGCGGTTCATCAGTGGTCTTCAAGAGTGAGGATTAGTGGCAAGTGAGCATTATTTGATATGAGGGTATTAAAATAAAATTACATATTCAAGTGTTTCCTCCGCTGGGTGCTGCATAGGCCACGTGCGCATTCAAACAGAGCGACGAAGATAAGAGGACATCGAAAGCGTGGCGCATTCCACAGGAGGTATGACCATTTTTGGGTGCTCTGTTGAGCGCGTTCTAGGGGAAGATTAAGTGGTTTGTTAGCTAAAAGCAACGCTGTCGCGCAGTTTCGAGGATGATTAGTTGGCAAGTTCGATTCTCGCGTCGTGCCAGTTAGCCTTTTGGACAGTCTATTATGCCCTCTTGCTAGCGGAGAACGTCGAACGCTATCATCTGAAGGCACCTGACAGACAACAAACTACTGTTTACAGTTTTCAAGAAGGCAACATTTTTTGCCTTATCAGAATGACTCTCTTACTGTTTGATCAGCGAAGAACTCTCATCGTTGTTGATCACAAATCAACACTTGCTTACAAATAGGGGCAAATCGAACATTCAGTGTTCGCTACTGTCACTTGACTTGTTAGAATTTCAGTAGCATATTTCTGTACCCAGTGCTAGATATTCATCACCATCCATTCGCTTACATAACAAAATGGAGGACAAACGCATGGCGTATTCCAGGTAAGAATTGGGACAGAATTGACTAAACTAATCTATTCTAAATCATAACTCATCCAATTTTCCCGTTTATAAGGGATCAGAAACCCAAATGGTATACTCCCTTTTTTTGGGTGCGCCATGCACTCCGTTTTTATTCGAAATTGTTAGGCACATATTTGCATGAGTTGCGCAACATCCAGCGTAATGTTTCTCCAAATCGAGATATTTACAATGTATCTCTATTTTTGTTGCCTTCAATTACAAAGATCCGATTCGTTAGCTGTTTTGTTGTCGATGGCGTGGGGTGTGAAAATAACTTGTTCCACTCT